TCTCTTCAAAGTCTACCATTGGTACTAGATTTCTCATGTGCTACAGGGTTGCAGTATTAACCATCTATTTGTAGGTTTTTGAGATGCATCGGTTGTGACGTCACGAAAGTATGTCGAAGGTTACATACAAAATTTTAGATACAAGAACAAATTCAACACGATTAAAGATTTATATTATATTGGCATTGCAGATTAGTAATGGAGGCTGTAATTTAATTTAGGGTGGACACTTTAATTCTAAATTTTAATTAATATTTTTTAATCAATAAAAATATAATAATAATTTGGACAGAGATCAATCGTTGAAAATTAAAAAATACTTGTAGCCCAATTATAAGTAATTTCACGTTAACTGAGAGTACAAACAAAAAAAATAATTATAAATTATACCCAAGAATATATTAATCACAAAAATCTCAACTGTAATAAAATACATTAAACCAGAAATTAAAGACTAGTTAAAGCTCATAGTTTAGAAAAAAAAATGTTAGGCAAAAATTATGAGAAAAAAGATGTTGAAAATTAGCAAAAAATTTATGGACAACATTATTATTGCCTTCTAAGATTTCACATAAAGACAGAAAATAGCTTATACGAGGCTTGCACAGGCACCAACTACTTATTCTTATCTCTCTGTTTCTCTTGAACTTTCTGTTAGTCTCTTCTTTGTTTTCATTTTATGTGGATAATCTCGTAAAATTATGATGTTTATATGTCAAATGTTTGTTCACTTTATTTTATTAACATGTTTCTTATATTGCTTAAAAAATAATTTTATATTTTATCACATAATAATCCTACTTTTGAATTAATATTTAAAGAAACTTAATTTTTTTTTTAAAAATTTACAAAATGGGTTTCATTATGTTCAAAATATATACAAACATGTCTAAAGCGTGTCTCTAATATATTCAGTCATTGTGTTAACTTTTACAGAAAATATTAGGGTGAGGACAATAAAATTATTTTGAAAAACATTTAACAAAGTTGATACATGTATATCAATAAAAAAAAAAATTCAAAATTTGAGGGTGGGACTAGGCCCCCTTGGCCCTAGTGTCCTTCTGTCACAAGTCGTAGAATGGTGACTTGAGAAATATAAAACGAGCAATCTGAGACGTCATAGAGTCAATCACGCGTTAAATGAGACTTCTGACTTATAACAAACGTTTATCCGTCCAAGACGGAAGATGTTAGGTTTGCTTTGTAAGATGAAAATGTGGTTCCAACTGCAAGAAAAGGGACATATTAGTCCGTTAAAGTTAACTCAACGTTCAACAATAGAAAGGGAAAATTGTGTTGATTATTGATGGGGTAAAAAATTGAGCATGAGGTGGATGGACCGGATAAGTTCTAGGTGAGGTTTGTCGAGTGTGTGAAAAAATGAGTGATCACTCACCTAGCCGAAGAGTTAGACCATTCTACTATAATGACATAATCTTTTAGAAATGGTGACTTCTTGTTCAAGGTAGAGTTTGATGGTGAAACTATCCCTTCTGGTAGTTTGTATATTATTTGTCTTCTTCTAGAATCCCGTTCCTGATTTGAATAAATATTGATTAGGGCTACCTTGAACTTACTTGACCTATCTAATCGAGCTGGCTTGACTTGACTTGAACTGGATTGACCGAGCTAGCTAACCTGACCTACTTGGCTTATGCCAACCTAACTTGACTTGCTCGGCACATGCTGACTTGACCTGACATGTCCGAGCTTTATTTTTTTTTTTGGTATCATCAGTTATAATATTAAAATTGAGCCTCTCTGCTATTATTGTGTACAGCATATGGAGGGAGAGGAATAACATAATAGTTTAAAGATAGCATATCTCTCATTAAGCTCATAAGGCCTACCAACAGAAAGAATTCGATTTAATTGAAATGATTTGTAAAATTCCATTTTGGCATTTGAAATGGTTTATAAAATTAAAAGGTGTTGGTACTGTGGGTAAAAATTTGAATTGAAGTTATTCTAGTCACAAGTGAAAAGTAATCTATACTTTCTTCTTGCTTAAAATCCTCATCTACTAATCGGGCTTTAAAAATTTGTATAGAATTATCATAACAATATTTTCTTTCGAAAACCCATTTTACATCTCATAGGCTTAGAACCTTAGGATAAATCCACTAATTTCCAAGTGTTACTACATAATTGAATCTATTTCAATGATGTGAATGTAATAAAATTATAGATTATTTTTGCATTAATTTAAGTAACAGTAATTAAGTAAAATGGGAGTTCTAATAAAGGTAATTTAGTAAAATTACGTATTCTATTAAGAAAAAAAAATTGACAGTGGTATTCAGTGATATTTCAAAAACCAGAGAGGGTGTCAGTAAAATATGACTTAAATCCAAGAATTGTCAATGAAATTTTCCCTTTTATTTTTAGTTATAAGTATTTTTTGAACATGTGCCTTTATAACGTAAACTCTAAATTTTCTTTTTAATATGGAACGATAGCAATGTATTTATTGAATCACGAAACAAGGATATAATCACAGAGATAAAGTGTCAGAAAATCAGGGTACTTCTCCCTACATAATAACGAGTCATTACATTGTAAGGCATAATAAGCCAAAACATCAACAGTGTTATTCATTGATTGTTTAATCTAAATTAATTATACGTGATCATTATCTGTAAATCATACGCATTGAATACACCAAAATATATGAAAATCAAATCTAAGAGATGAAATAAATAATCTAGAAGTATTTCCATCCACACTACCCTAACCCTACTATCCCACAGAGTGAAAGAGTAGATTACACAACAAAGAAGCAAAGAAGATTGATTATAAGTCCTTGGAGGAAATCATAACTTTCCAAAACAGGAGGTGGGTGCATTCATCATCACCCACAAAACCCTACACATATAATTTCTTCTTTGTATCTGTTATTGGCCTGCAAATTCATGATGCAGCAACAAAAACATGCTTCCATGCCCCTTGTAGTGGCTTCTCCACTCTTTTGGCACATCATGATGATGTCATTTTTGACATCACAAGTTACAAACATGTCCATGACCCAACGGCTTCATCTGGAACCTAAAAATTGGTGGTTAATCTCAGCTTGATTTAAATTTAAACAACACTAGGGTTGAGATATCGAATTTTCATGACACAATTTGAGCCTAATCTAAGTAATAAATTTGGTTTTGACTTGAATTTGAGGTAGAGTTATATAACTCGAGAATCAATTCCGATTTCAACCCGAGTTGACACTCAAATTGAATATAAATGTGAATTAAAAAATATGTAATTTGAGCTGATTGACAGGTGTGCCAACTCAATGGAGTTGCATCTCTATTTGGTAACCTTTATCCAAAAGAACCAAGTGGAAGTAACTTAACTGGGCATACACATCATGGCATTAGTAAGTGTATATATATATTTATACACACTGATGATGGGTGGGGTTGAAATGTTTCTGTCGGGGGGAGGATTGATGGTCTGATGGTAATGGTGATGGTGTGGTGATGATCATGAGTGCGCCTGGCTTGGCACGCTCGTTTCATCTTTTGAGCAAGAGAATATAATACCAATCATGATTCTCATTGCACGCCTTTCTCTCTCTCTCTCTCTCTCTCCAAAACCCAAGGTTTGCACAAGTTTCTGAAGAAAGGATATAACCCTGATTTTCGGTAATTGTCACAACCTCAATCATCATCTTTTATCCTTTTCTTCCTCCAAAATCTCTGTCGAATATGATTTCTTCCCTTCTCTGTCGAATATGGTTTTTTTTTTTTCCTGGTTGTGCGATGCATCATCAGTCCATTCCCATGATCAACTCACATGCCTATGTTTTCATCATATGCATAACATATAAATACCCAGGTGTCAAAGGTTTATTGGCTCATCCCATATAAATATTATTTCATAATATCGTTATTCAATAATAAAATATCAAATGAATAAAATAAATTTTATTTTTATTTTTTACTTAGACTAGCCATTAAACTACATTGCATTGCAGAATGATTACTGAAGTGTGAGGAGTTCACTTTCCTACTATGTTTTTACTAATACTAGATAGTGATATCACATAACGGTAGTGACACGTTAAGTTATACTATCGGTCACAACAAGTATTTATCTCGCCATTCATATAATATTACAACTCGCAATTTGAATTGCACATTTATAAAATCACAATAAAAATTGAACTTAATTCAATATTCATCCGATTTCATTTAACAGTATAAAATTCATTACAAAAATATTTTTTAGCCTAAAAACTTCATCTTCTCTATACTGCTCCCAATGCTAGATAACATAATCAGACATTGTCCTATCCCAGACAACCCTAATAATCGATAAATACCTTTTTTTTTCTTTTTTTTTTCTCTCTTTCATGCTTTTCTCTTATTTTCTTTAAGGACACTTCAATTTTATAAGTTGCCGAAGTAAAAAAAATGAAAAAATAAATTGTTATTTAAAATATAAATATTGCATAATCATGCTCAATTTTTGGTATATATATAATCCTTTGAGAACTAAGACAATCCATGCGGGCAAAACTTTTAGAATGATCTAGTGGCCAAACATGTCTTCTTGTAAGTAAAAAATTTTAGATTTAATAATTCTTATATAGGGATCAACCACCTTTATTTTTTAGGGATATATCCTGAAATTAGCCCGAGTTATGTTAGCTGACCAGAACTCGAGAATAGTTAATACAAATTTGGACATCTAGAAAAAAAAAAAAAAAAAACCATGCGGCCAAATCACCTTAGAAATCTCAACTTTGGTCTTTTACACTTTTTAATATTTATCCTTCCTATTAGTTGCGAAAATCCATGAGGATTGTATCTGCCTCTTTTCAGACTTAAGTATTGAACCCCACCCACTTTTACTAGATATCCAACACTTCCATACCCAACTTCAATCATGCTCCTTTTCGATTTCCATGCCACCTTTCCTTCTTATATATTATGTGCACTAAGCCTCACTTCTCTCCATCCCTTAGCATCATCTCTCTCTCTCTCTCTCTCTCTCTCTCTCTCTCTCTCTCTCTCTGTGAGTATAGGAAAATGGGTGACATATCTTTCTCGAATGGGATTAGCAATGGGAATGGCTTTCATGGCAATGGCCATTCGGTGGGAGGAGCACAAAGAAAGAGCTGTTGGTATGAAGAAGAAATTGAAGAGAACTTGAGATGGTGCTTTGCTCTCAATAGGTATCCCCAACGCATGCACACACACATATTTAACTCTGTTCAATTCAATAACTTCCGCCATTTCATAGTGTTAAGGAAATCCATTTAGCTTTACCTGTACCTTCACATTAATATAATAAATGTGTTTTTGAGGGCGGAAATGTTACGTGCACCAAAATTTTCTTAAAAATGATGAGTCACTAGATGATAATAAGCGCACTAATCTAATAGTTCGTGCACATAACATTGCTTATTTTCTATAGTTATGGAAGGCTCATGAACAAAATCATTAAAAGACTTTATTAAGGCAGAAGAAGCTACGCTTTTCAATGTGTTGAGAAAAAACAAAAGTTTAAGCTGTCTGCTAGGTGTTTTCCAGATTTTGGGTTACCCTTTTTACTCAGAATCTATGGCTTGTATTATAATAGTATATGGCCTAAGCTTTCATAGTCTAGAAATTCTCTCAAAAAGTGGGAAAGTTTCTGTAGTGATTTTCCAAAAGTCTTGTCTATAAAAAGTCAGACCAGATAAGATAAATGTAATTAAAACCAAGTTGGCCTTGATTACATAGTTCAACTAGATAAAAAAGTTAAAGTTGTGTATACGAATAATATTAGATGTGTATAGTTCTATCCCTAAATTATCCAAGTGACTTGCACCTGAACACTCATATCAGAGTTTGACAATTTTACCGTTGTACAGAAATATCTTTGTGATTCGAACTTATGACGCACAAAATACAATTAACAATCTTATTGTTGTATCAGGACACGCTTACTCTCCGTCCAACAACGTGATGAAACATAATTTTATTTTTCCATTTTTTTCTGCAGCATTTTGCACACAGGAGCTACTCAATTCCAGGACATTCAACTTTTGGACACAAAGCCCTTTGGAAAGGTCTGTCATTTACTTGCAGATACATTTAATCAAACTCTCTCCGATACCCTCTTCTTTGTTTAGTGTTAAATCTCTCTGGGTTTTTTCTTTTTTTTGACACAGGCTCTAGTCATTGATGGAAAACTTCAAAGTGCAGAGATAGATGAATTCATCTACCATGAATCTCTTGTCCACCCAGCACTTCTTCACAACCCAAAGTACTTTTTCTGAACTATCTATCAGTATTTTTGAGTGTCTGAGAATTTTCAAGTATTTTGATCTTTGTTATCTGATGCTTTTGTGCATATGCATTGTCAGTCCCAAGAGCATCTTTATCATGGGGGGAGGTGAGGGTTCTACTGCAAGAGAATTACTGCGGCACAACACTGTAGAGAAGGTGGTCATGTGTGACATTGATGAGGTGATATATAGTTCATTTGCTTACATTTGTGTTGGAGTGAGATATTCTCTAATATTTTTTTTTTTCAATTCGCTCGACCACCTACTTTGCATTCAAATGGGACCACCTATTATATACAAATCCGTCTTTCACTTATTAATGGTAGATGATCCGTCAAGAACAAAATTGAAGAGAAAATGTCTCCGGGGATCTAGATTCATTTGTATCCTCTACTCTATTCTCGTTCTTTTTCTTGAGGTTGGTAACCTCAGGAACTTAAAGCTTTCATCAGTATTTGGAAGAGAACAGAATTAGTACTATGCGTTCTGAATACTGCAACATTGGATAACATGTTTAATGATCACAAAAGTTAACGAGGTAGTTTTGCTATCCTTTACTTGTGGCACCCCACTAGCATTATCCTTAGAAAAATTGTTTTTCCCTCTCATTTTAACTTCTTTAAAAAAGGGTCATTACCTAGTTTCGTCCCCATTAATCGAGCAGAGTTGTAAATGGAATGGTGGACATGGTACATACATAGAGATTACTATTTATTTAACTTTTATAAAGGTGAACTCGAATTTGCTTTTACTACTTTCACAAACACATTCTTTTTGTGGCTTCTTCCTAATTAACTTGAGTAAAATGTGAACTCAAATTTACTTTAGCCGCTTTTCCTACAACTCTTCCGCCTTGTATGACTTCTAGCAATTAAGAATATGACAAGAATAGTGGAGCTAATTAATTATATTTAGCAAGTGGTAAATTGGCGTTTCGCGTGCCTATTTCACTCATGATCAAAAAGGGCAAAACAAAGCAAAAATTAGAGTGGACCAAGAAACAATGGCCAACTTTATTATTCCACTTAGTTTGACTTTGGCTTAACAATTCTAGACACAGATCCGCTAACTTGGACTAAACCATGGTGACATTTGCCCTAAATTGTCTATATGCTATGGTGCAGGAGGTGGTGGATTTTTGCAAGTCCTACTTGGTGGTTAACAGTGAAGCTTTCTGTGATCCAAGACTTGAGCTCATTATAAATGATGCCAGGTTCATTACCCTGTTCACAGCCTAATGTTGTTTCTGGTTGTAGTTGATTTGATTCTGTGCTCAATTAATGTATTGTTCGGGTGTGTGACAGAGCTGAGCTTGAAAGGAGAGAAGAGTGTTATGATGTGATCATAGGGGACTTGGCAGACCCAATCGAAGGAGGCCCGTGTTACCAGCTCTACACCAAATCCTTTTATGAATTCACTGTCAAACCAAGACTTAATCAAGATGGCGTTTTCGTGACACAGGTACATATGTGTGTATGTGTGTGTGCTTGAGTGTCTGTATTTTGCATGAATATATCCAGAATTGTATGAAGGCTGAAGAGATGAGATTCAACGAGTTCATTTTTTAACCCACTGCAGGCAGGACCAGCTGGTGTTTTCAGCCACACAGAAGTTTTTTCTTGCATCTACAATACTTTGAGGCAGGTTTTCAAATGTAAGTATCATCAGAAATCATGAGAAAAGCCAAAGGAAATCCTGCATTTACCGACTCTTTTGTTGATTTTCTCCATAATTTATCTCAATTCTGGTCATGTGCAGATGTTGTAGCATACTCTGCTCATATTCCTTCCTATGCGGACATTTGGGGATGGGTCATGGTATAATAACTTCCCCATTCTGTTCAATTTTATTTAGAATTTTCCAATTACTCTGTTTTGGGAGAAAAAAATAAATACTTGTTACAAAAACTAACTATATACCGATTTATGATTAAGGAATATGAGGTACATTGTGTATAGATGTGACGTTGTCTCTCATTACATTAGCTGAGAATATAGGCTCCTAAAGTCCCTATTACTGTGTTAATTCAATGGTAGGAGCATAGCATGTTAATGATACTACTACAGACCATATTGGTCTGATTAATGCATATGCTCGTAAATTGTGTTACATCGAAGGAATCCAAACATAAACATCCTCATAAATGGCAGGCGTCAGATTCACCATTTCTGCTGAATGCCGATGAAATGGACTTGAGAATGAAACAGAGGATTAAAGGAGAAAACAGATTCCTAGATGGCAAAACCTTCACATCAGCCTCTACCTTGAGCAAAGCTGTTCGGAAATCGTAAGGGCCTATCGCATTTTCATCATCATCTCTATGCATTATAAGTTTTCTGTCAAATGTTTGTGCTATTACTGATTTGTAATGGGGTATTGACAGACTGGACACTGAGACACATGTTTACACAGAAGGCAATGCAAGGTTCATATATGGTCATGGCACTGCCTACAAACACAACAAAGCCTAAGAATCGGAACATAAAGGAGCCCTTACTGGAAGCACAGAGACACAGAAGAGTGCAACCCCTAAACAATCTTGCCCTTGTTTTATGCTTACTCAGTTTTCTACTGTATTTTCCTTTTTCTTTCAGTTTTCTTTTTGCTTATGCACTTACCTGAAAGGAATGATATAATGACAGTCTATCTTTGTTTGTGTTCAAGACTAGATTTCCCCTGTTAATTGTACAATTTGAAACAGAATCTGGAAGCTAATACACTTTATATAAGCCTGTATTACCCACCCTTGGACTAGGAAAGAACACAATGCCAATTGTAGTCCCGATGTAAGGAATAGACAGTTACACGAAAAATGCGGTCAATACAACCAAAACATCACTTTACAACCCAAGTCAATTCGCGAGGTTTTCTAAATCCACCAGTGATAAACACAAATCCACCAGTGATATGCACAAGAAATACATGCAGGATCATCATACTTACCAAGCATCCATGAACTGATGGGATTAACCAATCAAAATTATTCCACAATATGCATCTAAGAAGTCATTTCTACAGGTGTTATCTCTACTATTCCAGTTTCTCTCTTAACAGCTTCTAAATGTTCTTATAGGAACAGTGCCATATGCTCTTTTCAAGAAATTCTAAGATCAAATCTGACCAACCCATTAAGATTTATCCAATGATAATGGTAAATGATCTAAGAGACTCTATATCTCCTAGTTTTTTTGTCAAAAAAATGGAAGATTTGTAATCATATATACAACAAACAAGCCATCTTATGTTTGTAATATAACTCCCTGCGAACAGAAATACAAGTACAACAAAAGACACATCGATGAATAATCACATAACCACACATACACAATGTCTCTAAAACACCCTTTACCTTACAAGTCAAAGACTGCCTTGCCAGTGAACTTGACCTCAATTGGATTAACATTCTTCCCAATGGACCTCAAGTTCACCCCAACCCCTTGACGCCCAGGGTTCACCTTCTCCGGGTAGACCCCATCCTTAGGGTGCAAATACTGCACCTCACCATTAGGGAACACCCTGTAAAATTGGTAGTTAATCTTGTACTTAGACCTTAGCCTAGTCCCAAGTGCCAAGCACTGCTCTTTCCTAGCCAGTTTGAGTAGGTTAGGACCCTGCCTCATTATGGCTGCACCACCAGTGGGCATTTCAAAGATTTGTTCTTTAGGAGACTCCCAAGTGATCACATAAAACTCTTCCACTTGTGCCTTTCGGAGTAACCCTCCAGTGCTGCCACCAAATATTGGTGATGGGGTGGTTGGGTCTAATTGCGGCGTGGTGAAGCCCACCGGAGCCTCCTTTGTGGGTGTCTCCTCCACCGATGCTCGAATAGGACGCGGTGGTGCGGCGGATTTGAGTGGCTTAGGAGTGGTGAATGAGGCAAGTGATGATTGTTTCCATGGTGCAACGACTCGGTCACCAGATTTTGGGGTGGAGACAGATGGGGTGAAGAGGAAAGCTTGGGTTGCCATGGCCATGGAGGGAGTGTAGAGAGAGAAAATCACTTGTGGAGGTGGGTTTGTAGGATCAGTTTCATGAGGAGGAGGTTTTGTGCAGTGAGCTTGTGGGATATTAGATGGGTGGTGGGCATGTGGGTGGGGTTAGAAATTGGATAAGGTGATATGGCTTCGACCAATGAGAATCCATATTGTGATTTGGATAGGAAGTCCTACCCACACCTCTCCATCATTTTCTTCATTTGGGTATTGGTGAATATCCAGAGTTTGCATTGGCTGGGTCGACCGGACGATCAGTCAAGAGCCTGTTCCTGCCTATGGGTCTTTAATAGGTAGGATTGGGCTAGCCCAAGGAAATAGAGGCATGTGGTTAGTTTTAATGGGCACATAGTAAGGGTAAAACTTGTATGGGCTAACTGAATTCCACCCAAAAATTCAATTCAAAAAATACTTAGGTTAAGATGTCAGCGGGTTCAGCCAAACTCATACCTAATTATAGAACTTGGGTTTAACCCGTTTTCTCTTTTTTGTATTTTTAGTGGATTTTATTCTTTATGTTCAAAAGGGGATGAATTAGGTCAATCTCACCCCTCTTTCTCTCTATCAAATATACATATGGTGATGCATTCATATTTTGAATATATTTTACTAATATCATACTTACAGTTACAAAAGTTCAAGAAGATAATAATTTTTTCTCTCTCCTCAAAGTTGTACCTCTTTCTTTGCTCCATAGTTTACATCGACATTACTAGGGATCTTTTTTCTCTTTCTCTCACTATTTCATTCTCAAAACTAAAGAAATCTATAGATTTACCTAATCATTTTTATTTATCTATCGCTTTCATTCCTATTTCTCGTGATCTGAACCCTTACCTATTTTTTTGCCATTTCTTTTAGAAATATCTAGAGGCTATGTAGACTTCATAAGTGTCTAGAGGTTGTGTAGCTAAGCGAGAATCATGGTAGAAGAAAGTGAGAAAGCCCAAAATGCTTGTTGCTTGAGTTTAAAACTATAGTTTATGTCTCTGAAATCAGCTAAAGCTTTTAGACAGAAAACATATCAACAAAAAGCACAAGAAAATTGGAAAGCAAAGGAAGGTGGATCTTCTAGCAATCTGTGACATTGAGTTGGTTGTATTTGACAGGTTTGCTGGGCAGAGCTAGAAATTATGTCTAGGGTGGGCATTTTACTTAAAAATATTAATTTTTTTTCTCCCAATCAAAGAAAATAAAATAATATATTCAAATTTATTATATTATATTCAATACTTAAAAATTCATAAAATACAAAATGGTCAAACGTTGATAAATATACCGTATATATATATATATATATATAAAAAGACTAATTGTAACCTTTCAGAACAAATTAGGCTAACTGCATAAAAGATACTATAGTATTTCTCCATATATACGATCAAACTAGTAGTAATTGCTCACTTATTCAATTAAGCAACCTAGTTGCCAATCTCTATAACTTTTTTTTTTTTGAATTAGAATCGCTATAACTTAAAAAAATGAGTTCGACAAGTCAAAGACTTACATAGATGTCCAAAGGGTGTCCAAAAATTCATAATTATTTTAGTACAGGGACTATACTAATTGATAGAACAAAAAATGATAGAGTAGAGATGCTTAAATATACTTTAAATTATTTGAAATAGACATAAGTAATTTTTTTTTTTTTTAAATAAGGGTGGGCCTGTCCCCTCCCCCCCCCCCCACCTTCAAGTAGCTCCACCTTTACAGGTTTGTGTCTACTGGTGAGAACGCATTACAGGAATCGGAACCCAACTTAATAACTTGAGTTCAACCCATTTTATACAACGTGTATTCCACTTGAGTTTTAAAATTCAAGGGCAGGCTTAGCTCAAGTTGAGAGGGTTGGGTTGGGTTGGGTTAGGCTTGGGTTGAGAGTTTTGTGCTTCGGGTCGAACCCAAATAACACCCTTAACCTGTTCAACTCACTCAAGTTTTACTCCCAGCTCTTAACGACATTTTCATTTATTATATTTTTAATAAGCAATAAGTAACAGCGGACTCATGTGATGCATGAAAATTGCACTCTTCACCCTCTCCCCCTCCCTCTCCAACCCACCCTACTTCCATCCTATGGGGTTGCTTAATAGTTTCTCACTATGTAACGCTTTACAATGAAAATGAATATGAAAAATGAAGATAGTGTTACAATACAACTAAGTAACTATAATAACTTTAAAATAGATATAAATAATTGGATATTATAATGAAAAGAAGATGGAAAGTTACATGACATCATAGGATAATAAACGGAGAGATAAGTTATAAAAAGGGCCAAATGAATTGTCATGATTGGAGGAGATCATATTTTTAGGTTTACAAATACAAAATTTGTAAATTAAAAAAATGAGAGGAAAGATTTCTTGGCTCCTCTTAACTACTCTGATTGTTATAATAAATGATTAGCGGCAAACTCACATATTATTAGGATCAATAATTACATTTAAAGATCAAGAATATCCATTTAAAGTAACAAACTCACATACACTTTAACCCAAGACTCCTACAATGGAGGACAACCATTCAGCTTCAAATCCTAGTGATTCATTTAAATCAAGATCAAGTACTCCCAATTTAAATCTTTTACTTGATGTTTGATCCAACACCCATTTTATGCATGTGTTCAAAAATTAATTTACAAGTGATAGAATTTTTTACTTATGTTGCGATATTGCGTGAGAAAGAAGGGCTTCTGACTTATAATGTAAGGTGTTGAGAGAGAGAAACAGAGGAGAAGGAATATTGGGAAATATAGAGTGGTGATTGGGGAGTGAGCAAAAGAGAGAGATATGTATGTGAGGGGGAAGCAATTCGGGAGAGAAAAAGAGAGGGGATGGGGAGGAAGAGAAACTTCCGAATTAGGGCTATTAGTTGAACGAGCCCGAGTCGAGTTTGAAAAATTTGTTGCTAAATGTGATTTTCCCTATTCAAAATCCGTTCTACTACTTGGACGTGGACGAAATAGCATAAGACGAACAGACAAAATTCACAAGTCATCTGGTAAAACTAGGCCGGAAAATGCTCCGAGATACAAAGAACAAATCAAGAACAAGAGGTAAAAAGAAAGAGAAGTCGCCGGCGATATGTACCAACTGAACGTCAAACTCAATGAAATCAATGCGATACTTTCCAAGATTGGGGACGTGGGAAACATGAACGGCGACCTTGAGAGCGCCATCGTAAATAGAGGAACTTGGTCGACGGAGAGAGAGAGAGAGAGTTTTGCAGACGCAAAATAAGGAATTTGTTGTTGGGTGGGAGAGAAGGGCGTTGATATGATTGGAGCATTTGAAGGGTGACTGGTGAGTGGCCTCTAGAGAGGTTCTATTCTTGCGCTGAAATGTGGTAAAAACACCAAGTTCATCTCTCTCTCTCTCTCTCTCTCAACAGTAGAAAGAAATAATCAACGGAAAATTCTCCTTTCAAATCTCTCTAGTTTATGTCTTCCCATCATTTTCTCTCTCTTTCTCTCCTACCCTTCTTCCTCTCACACCTCTTTCTTTCAATCCTTTTTGTCTCAGAAACACAAGAAGCGTCCAAACCCATTACCCATAGGCTTCCATGGATTCCGATAAAAAGAAGCCTCTTCCTGAGAAATTCCCAAGCTTTAACGACAACCAACCTGACCATCACGATCTTGACATAGACAAAGACTGTAACACCACTGATCCCCCATTGTCTGAAACATCCGTGGAGGTTGAAGAAGCCCAACCAGACAATGCCGAGACAAATAACAAAGAGGAAGAAGACCAAATCAATACAGAGATTGAAGACTCTTCTTTTCCTGAGACTCCCGATTTCTCTCAAGTCTCTGCAGAGATCGATCAATTTATCTCTATTTTGTCGAACTTAAAAAGCGATGAATTCGAACTCCCAGAGATTCCAGAATTCGTGGAACAATTTGCTCTTCTTGTCGAAGCAAAGATTGCGAACTATGATTCAACTGATCCACCATTGAAATGGAGTCAAGTCACAGAGGAGGAGTCGACAACATTTCTTGAAGCTGTGAATCGAATTTTCAAGTTATCAACATCACTTTGCGCTTTCTCGTCAGAATCAAAGTACGATTCATCGATCAATCGCGTTGGTGGAATTCTACAGCGCGCAATGTCATACTTGGAGGAGGAGTTTAGATCGCTTCTTGAAGATTATAAACTTCCTAATTCAGATCATAATAATGACTCAAAAATGAAACAATCTTCATCGTCTCTCTCTAATCAAGATTCAGATCAATGTGCTTTGCCCGAGAAATCTGATTCCACAACGGAGAACAATTTTCCGGGATACTCGGAGGAGGTTGTGTCAAATTTGAATAAACTAGTGATAACGATGATGGTGGGAGGCTATGAGACGGAGTGTCGTCAGGTTTACTTCATTTCTCGAAGGAACGCATTGGAAGAGAGTTTGCATGAGCTTGGGTTTGAGAAGCACAGCATCGACGATGTGCAAAAGATGAATTGGGAATCACTGGAGAGAGAAATTGTTTCGTGGATCAAAACGTTCAAGCAATGTTCTTCTATGCAATTCACCGGCGAACGTAAGCTCGCAGAGGCGGTGTTTTCCGGCTACGAGTCGGTGTCGGAGACACTCTTCAGCAACCTCTCTCGAGGTGTGATGATTCAGCTTCTCAATTTCGCTGAAGCTGTTGCGATGACGAAGCGTGCGGCAGAGAAATTGTTCAAGTTTTTGGACATTTATGAGGCATTGCGTGACATCATTCCGGTCATGGACGAATTGTTTCCGGCGGATTGCTCAGAGAAACTCAAAGCCGAAGCCTCATTGACTCGTTCTCGACTCGGTGAAGCAATGGTTTGCATTTTCTGTGAACTTGAGAACTCGATAAAGTCCGATACCGGGAAGACTCCGGTGCCGGGAGGCGCTGTTCACCCCTTGACTCGCTACATCATGAATTACCTAAAATACGCATGTGAGTACAAGGACACCTTAGAACAAGTCTTCAGAGAGCACCAGAAAATCGA